CACACTCTTTGGGTCTGTCACTGGATCTAACCAACGCCTCTATCCACTGTGCCATGTGTCCTTGAGTTCATTTATTTATATCTTTTTTTTTCTGACGCACGTGTCGACGGCGTGTCCGTGTTGACTACTTCTCTCCAATAGTGAGAATGCTAGATGCTTGTGTGTGTACAGGAGAAAATTGGGATCAATTCTCATTGGTTTAGAAAGAATGAATTAATGATAATTACAATTGTTATAATAATTTTATTATAATTATTTTAACACTATAATTATTATTTTTTTTTATTTACTAATACAAGTGTAACTATTCATATGCTGTTCGTTCAAGAGAGAAATGCATCGGTTAAAACTTTTAAATTATTTTTATTAAACGCTCGTTCTAATTTTTAAACTTGTCATTACTACAAAAATGTTAGAGAAAGTCTCTGGAATTTGTATTCATATAAGTTCATAACCTTATTGTTCAGTCATCAAAATGTTTTCCCTTGATTTCTATGACCTTATACCATTTATTCAGGAAAAAATATTTTATTGCTTCATAAAACACATTTTCGATAGTGATTTACTGAATTAGTCAAAAAACCTTTTCGATACGTTAAACTATTCGCAAGAACTTACCAGACAAGAAATGATTAAAAAAGCAAAACAGGTAATAATCTTAAAATAACAGGTGTGTAGAATATGTTAAATCTTTATCATTTACTACATGACATTTGCAACATGTGGTCAGGCTTAGACATGCAGGAAAATCAAAAGATCAACTCCTTTATCATGGTAAAGGCTTTCATTTCCGATGCTCAATTCAAACGAGCCAATTGATCATTGTAGTGTTACGCAGTAAAGTTTTGTTCACTTTACAATAATTCGTAAGTACTCTAGTTCAACTTATAATGATGAATTCCTACTGAACCTAACAACATACAAATACGTAGTCATGGTTTTCTTTCGTTTACCATATTTATATAAGTATATCGTTAATTGGCACTGACTCTTTGAAAAGTGATTTTCTTGTGTTGGGAATAAATAGAGAACAACTTTCAAAACCTGTGTTTCCTTAAGTTAATGTGAGAATTATTTTCCCGCCTCAGAACATTCTTCTCCTGAAGTTTTTAAACGACATTGTATACCGTTAATTGATTGGGCAATAACGAATTGTTCAAACATCAAAAATATGGAAATGATAGCGTCAGTATCTTCTGCTTCAACTTTATACTTTGCCATATATTCAGTGGAATTTAATTTAACGGTACTATTTAAATAAAACTTTCGTCGACAAGCTAGAATGGGTGAAGAAGCTTTTTAATCAGTTATGGCTGTTCATATGCCTATTTTTTAAGATGGCACTGAGGTGGCACAGAGCCGAATATATCAGGCACCCAGTTTATATCGAACTCACAACACAGTCGTAATTGATCTTGCGAGACAAGTCTGCTAACCATTACACTAAGTTGAAGTGCACAGTGGCTGTTTATGCGTGCTGAAAGAGAAAACAAACTAATACGTAAATAATCTATTGGAGGAGATGACTGTTGAATGTGCTAACACATTTAAAATGTTCAAATCTTTCGATCAGATGGTCAAGCAGAGACAGCTAAGAAGCTAAAGAACAATTGATAAAATTGATGATTTATAAAACACTAAAACACCGCGTCAAAATATAAATTTTGGTGAAATTCACCTTAATTTCTGAGAAGCCATGTGTTTAATGGAAAACAGTTTCAAAACCTTATAGGCAGAAATATAAAATGTTATGAATATGAGAAGGAAGGCTCATAAGAAAAATGGTTGAACGTCCTGGATAAGACAATAAATTACATCCGACAGCAAGGCCGATGATTAGGAGGTTTTGAAGAGCGTAGAACCACCTCTTAATTGCTGGTGTTCCGAAGTTCACCTCGACCCGATGTTGTAGCGCTTGTTAGGGTCCCAGCTATGAGCAAATAGTTAACCCCCAAACTAGGGTTAAAACGTGTAAAAATAGGTTTTAATACCAGCAATACATTTTTGTAAAAAATATCACCAGCAATAAAGTTTTGAAGAAAGATTATTACCAGCATATTACTGGTAACAATCTTTAAAACTTTATTAGCATTTAAAAAAAAAATATTACCAGCAATATGTAAAAATCTTTCGGCATTATATAACCCATTGAGGTGTGGATATGCTGAAAAACAAACCAAACCAAACAAGGTTCGAAAATTCAAAATGTAGCATAAATCGAGGGAAGTATAAGAACAAAACGTGAAGGGGTGGGGAATAGGAAGAGGAATACAAATTTATCAATCAGACTATCTCGCTATTACCTTAAAGGTTGAAGAACTGTAAAGAAATCATCAGTTAATAATCATTACCTTAGTATATATAACACGTAAGCTAACTCCAAAGGAAGAACTATTTGGTTTGTCTATTAATGTACATTTGTTTTCTAAAACCGCGATATTTGAACTGGCTGGTAAAATGGAATTGCTTTAGGGATAATTGGAATGTTATATTTCTATGT